GATACTCCTATATGAGATGAAGTATTGGGGTCCAGCTATCGAAGTAAAGCAAGCGCCTTAGGTTTGCCCAAAAGACAATTTCAATATGGCGAAGCTCGTGGATGATTTGTAAATCCTCTTTGCTGTGGAAAGATAATTTCACTGTAGTTCCACATCAACATAGTTGCCATCCAATAGGATACAAGGTCCAAGTGGGGCAGAAAACGGCCTCAACTATCAAGTGATCTGCAGTTGGAACCAAACACATGGCATTCCGAGCCACGCGTGAATACTAGACACAAAAAGTTCTTGCGTAGAACGGCACAAAAGTGACTAATTCCAAATAGACGCAAATACGGCTATTAACATGAATATACAAGTTTACTTAGAATGTAAGTGATATCGCATGTCATCGCTTGAGAGAAAGAACAGGTTGCCCATTGATTATGTGTTTGAGAGGTCGCAGTTTGCGCAGGGCATTAGCAAGCATTGTCTCAGCCACGTCATCCGTGCCTAAAGCTCCAGTGCTGCGACCGATCTGTGAGGAGTGTGGTACAAGGCGCTTTGAGCGAATTTTCTTCAGAAGTTCCGCCACACTGATCGGTTTACGCATCAAGTATTTTCGCACAGCCGCTATAAACACGTCATCGGTGGCTGGTTCGTTCAACTTGGGCCTCTTCGAAGGGTTTTCAGGGGCTGCGATCGATGTCAAGCCGGAGTCCTCCAGAGGTCTTTTGGGCGTCCCCCCAGAGTTAGACTGGTCGTTAGCCTGTGAGAGGGGGGCAGGGGTCGAAACTCTGTCGGAAATTCGTTGGAGCAATTCTACCTTCGTCTGGGCCTTTCTTGCAAGACGGGCGGGATCGTCAGGGGCGACATCGGAATCAGAGGCAGACGAGGAGGAAGAGTCGCTTGAAGAATCATCACTCGAGTCATCGCTGTCATCCTCATTGGAAGAAGAGTCGGAGAAGCCTGTTTTACAACGCCGACTCTTCGAGTCGCCAGACCTCAATTTTTGCTCATGCTCACCTTTACCATCTGCGTCCTCACCAACATCATCCCCATCCTCGTCAAAGTCGTCAGGGTTCGAGTTTTCTGGCTTGTTTTGTTGCTCCTCTTCAGAATCACCTTTAAAGATCATCAATGACATGCGAAAAAAGTGAGGCAAATCAGGCGTCAAACTGTTGAAGGAAAGAAGATGCAAAGCAGCACAACACTTAGATCAGAATACGGCAAATTCCATACATACAACTGATAGGTAAAACCAAAAGGATGTTAAAAGCGTCACATCATATCGGAGTACATTGCAAATATCAATGCATTTCAAAACAATAACAGTGAAAATGTAAACGCGTAAAACGTAAGTACAGGTGCCGGAGATAATGTGCAAAACTGAGCTTACTCATATCAGTGAGGAGGGCTTTGAGACCTGCCTCCTCATCAACGCCTTGTTCCTGGTAGATTTGCTCTCGATCGTCTTCTGAGAGTTTCTCCTCATCAGATGAGGAATCCGTCATATAATCAACCTGACAAGATAATTCAAAACAAATAACCAGAAAATAAGAGTAGTAGTTCGTAGGTTTCCCATGTGGAAGACAACCACATACAAGAAGCTGAATATGAATTCACACCAGACTGCACCATAAAGACGGTGGAGTTATGAAGCTTTACCTCATCGCCCTCGTGATCGTCAGGGTCACTCTCATCCCAAGCCTCTTCATTAATGTCATCTTCCTCATCCGAAGAGTTTCCGATCGCCCCTTTCCGCCGCCGACGGGCGCGTTGCTTGGTAGCTCTACGTTTACGAGCCACTATTGCTGCTGCCCGCCTCTTTTTACTATTAGCCTTCTTTTCCGATTCAACAGGCTTTTTGGTGAATCCAACCTCACTGCCCTCACCAAGGTCTCCGACCCTCTCAACCTCAACATCGCCTGTTGTTATTCCTTCGGCCCCCTCATCCTCTTCCTCCTCGTCGTCTGCACCGAAATCCTTCCACTCATCCAGTTCTGTCAAGAGGAGAGCGGAGGAGCGATCCCTTTTCGTAGCCTTACCATTCTTGGTCCCACTGTGTGATCTGCTGAGTTAAAAATAACAATGTAAGAGAGTCCGCATGTAAACAGAGATGCCAAGGGGAACGGAAATACTCACTTGGTAAAGGCGTCGTTGCCCTCTGCCATAGCTTCCTCCACAGCCTCATCAGCCATTTTCCGCTTAACCATGACATTAAAAAGATTCATGGTTTTATGTCGGCGACTGAATTCCGCTTCAGCCTCATCATCACGAAGGTAGCGATACGTGATTTCGGGGCTGAACTTATACCTAAACAGAGTTTAGTGCAAGGACTTTTTGTCTATCTATAGTAGATTGAGTAAATGAGACGAATGAGACGCCAGAAAATGAGGTAATGAGCATGGTAAAGGAAGTAGACATACCACTCGTGCACAGGGTAAGCGTCAAAATTCCCATCTTTTGTTTGACAAAACACGAAGTGTCTCACGTTGGCCGATACACTACCCTCCTTGACACCCCTGTAGCGTTTCGCCGTACGGCCCTTACCAACGGTAAGAAGCCAAGGTTGATCCTCCGCACGATATCCCTGCCTCACTATACCCAGCTTACGCAAACGGGCCTCTTCCCTGGCCTCCTGACCGAACTCGCTACCTGCTCCACGAGTCGGCACATCCACAATGTTGTGAGAAGCCTTGTACTGCCGAAGATTGTTCTCACGTTGTATAAATACCTCTGGAAGTACAGAAGGCCCACCTTTGCTATCTCCAGCGCCATTGTTCACAGCACCCGTAAGATCAATCCGATCATAAGCATTATAGCGTAACACACTCAGCTTTCTGTCAGCACGTGTGCAAACGCGAACCTAAAAAAATGTAAAACATGATCTGACCTGATAGTAACAATAAACAACACATACTTGGCGAGTTATCAATGGCTAAAAAGGAGGGCTGTGCTAGTCGCTCTATGCCGTGTAATAGCCAAGAAAAGCTAACCTGCATCTCACGGATAATTTTACGATTTGGTGGCTGAGCTGGAGCTCCGGTCACCTCGACTACTCCTCCCAGCCGCATTCCGGTGGGTGCAATATTTCCAGAGCTAACAGAATGCCTGTTCATCGCAGATAGCCGACCGGCAACAGGGACTGCACCAATAGGTTGAATGTGTCCGTCGAAGCGCATGGTAATAGGTGCATTGCGAAGAAGAGTCGCAACCGGTGCGTTGCTAGCATCTGGCTGATTATCTACATCCAAAGATGAAGAGGTTTCAAGCTGGGGTAGTATAGGACGCGACGACCCCGGCTGGACGAAGAATCGAGGAGCGGAGGGAGCAGCGACCCCCGCGACAGTAGATGGACGAATAACAACAAGATTTCGTGTTAAACTGGGAGAATTGGTGGTAGTTCGCACAATGACCGATGTTGCAGGGCGAGTTACAGGAAGACCATTAGTTGCAAAGTTGCTGGTGGCTGTACTAACTGTTATCAGTTGGGGTGTCAGTAACGGCTGCTGGGATTGCTGTTGATCTAGCCTAAACAACAAGTACGCCCGCCATGAGAACCAAGTAACTACATATATTATGATGAATCTCAACACAATCCTCCAAGCACAGATAAGTAATGCGTGAATCACCTTGCTTTATTTGACGAGTCAGCCATCCCAGCACCTGAAAAGCATAGTAAATAACTCACAAAAACCATCCCAAAGCTGAACATGAAGCAAAAGAACAGTACCACATTCACTTCTTAATATTCTATCATACTAGAGATATAACAGTTAAGACTGACTAATTGCTTGCAAGAGCTGCCACCAATCCCTGAACCCACTTCAAATAAAAATGAGTTCGAAACAACCACGCAAATAAGTGTGCAAATGCAAGATCTGTAGCATTAACTGCAACAACGGGAAAAGACAAAAGAGCGAAGTCCTTGGATCGACATACTAACACTCACGAATTGACCAAAAGTCATCATATAGCTTGATAGGAAACTTGCTACTTAACTTCTTACCCACAACAGCTCAGCCAGAGAGGCGACTTCACAGAACCCGAAGACTGCAAACACTGCTCCTGAACTCAGATGATTTACGATTGATCACCGTATTATCATTATCATTATCATTACAAATTAAAATGAAGTAGTAGACAAAAAAGCGTAAAGTAAAGTCCATGAAAGAGTCCTTTAAACATGTTATAAAACTACTGGCTGTTCTAATTTTGAACGAAGTTGTAAAATAATCCTATATGATAATTACTGCAAGGTTAGGGACAAAAGTCTTGACGTGTAGAGAAAAGTTACACGGATTAAGTCAAGTTTTATAATCATGCAATGCTTTGCATTACTTCTAACCTTTCCGAATGTCGTATCAAAGCTATTCTAGCCTTACTTCCTGCATTAAGAAGAGAAGCACATTACAAAGGCGAACGGTCTAACAAGTGCGATCTGAACTCACATACTCAAACCCAGTTTCCCCAATGATCTACGCGACTAAAACGAGATGGTGCCCAAAGATAGATACAGCAACCATGGTACGTACCCCAATGACCTCAGCCCCGACATCATCCACTACTCACGTAAGCATTTAATATCTGAGGGAGCACCTCACACAAAAATAACGCATTCCCAACTGTCCGACTTCCAAAAAGATACACATACTTATCCATTGTAAGGAAGAAAGCCCGACATGAACGATGACCCCCAGCTGAAAAAAATCTTAACAAGTTTTAATAAAACTTTAAAGTGGCAAAGGAGGTCGAGGCGCTATTGAGCGGATGTCAGGACAGGACGGAAGCGCGCAGGACGTACTATAAAATGCATAGTCGGCAAAGCAGACCCAACGAGGTTAAATTACAAGAGTTGTCATGGCGGACCCAAATAAATGTATCAAACATAATTGAAGCATTTCTGCATGCCTAACGGAAGACGAGTTTTGAAGAGCACCGAATCGGCGCGGTACTGAGTGTAGATCAGTGGATTGTAGCCGTAGATCCTCTCAAACCGGTTGATGCAACTGGAACGAACAGCCGTATGCCCCACTCGACCGTAAAGTGTAGATGTGCAGTTAGCACAAATGAAAGACCAGTGTGTCGTCACCTAGATTTAAAAATGTACCACTTCTAGCTTAAAGATGACTTTGTAAATACAATTAGTGCGTATTAAACCGCCAGCAAAGGCAAGAAAAATTTAGACAAAATATAGCTGACAGCATTTAATAGATACCTTTAGTGGTGGCTTTCGGGTGATGTGCGATACCAGGAAATTCATCGCGATATCTTCACAATTTAGTTCTATATCAACAATTTGTCGAATTTGGGCAGGCATTTCAATGGAGTAAGCGTGCAGATAGTACTGGAAAAGAAATTGGGAAATAAATAAACGCATAATAAGTGGTTTACGAAAATGAGCTGGTGGGAAATGCAGAACAAAAATGCACGGGAATAGTAAAAGCAGGTGGCCAGACGTGAGCCCTTACACGGTGTATAAATGCAGCTCCAGTCAAGATCATAGAGTATTCGCAAGAGTGGGCGCTGTTATAGTACCAATTTTGGCTGGAAGAAGACCAAAAGTGACCTCTGGCCGGGAAACCAACTATTCGATCACGGTTCTCTCGCCATATCCTAGAAATCGAAACTTATCTTTATAACGAAGAAATCAACAGAATGTCAACTAAAGCAGCTGACATATGGTATGATCTAAAACGGAGAATTCCGCTGAAAATATATGCTGTAGACTTATTGCACCGTTACAAACGACACTGAAAGGCTACCGAGTAAAAAATATTCGACAGAGCTTTAAAATATTGAGTACGCATTAACAGTTTTTTCCCAACCGGTGCCTCCACTAGACAGATCCATGTTTATCTGGCGCTCCAACTCATAATTAGACTGCTTACACATAAGTCCTGCTCTCGATGGGTGCGTTGTGTACCATACCCAATAACCAATTGCATCGAAAGGATAGAATCTAAGAACAAAGTAACCTGAACGCAAGAACAATCTCATCGTGCCGAAGAGTAACATCGTCATCTAGCATAAGAAGCGCTTCTGTTTTGAGGACATCAAAGGGAAGAAAGCGGTTATTCAAACTGTTCTTGCCGCCCCGAATAACCTAAATGACAAAAAAAAATATTGCAATACTACTCAGAAGCAAGCGACCAAGCTCAAGCAACTTTTGTGGAGCTATTACTTAACAGCAAAGATTTTTTCATCCAGTATTTATTACTTTAAGAGCAGGAGGCAACTGTTAGGGATTCCATAGATTCCCACAACTTCTCACTCTTAGCAATACCCAAATATTATCCCTATCCTAAGAGTTGTTAAATGAGCTCACATAAATAGGTACATGGAGCTTGGGCCAAATAAGGTCCTTGGAGGGCGATTTTGGATTATTCCAGATTACCACAACTGAGTGAAGGTAGGCCAGATTCATTAGGCCCTCTAGCATCACAGACAGAACAGCCTCACGGTCGTAAGTTAGCACCATGACTGAAAAGTAATGAAAACATTTTACTTATTGCTTTAAACAAACAGAAATATGAAATTCTTTCATAACCTAATTAATGAGTTCCAAAAGTAAAAAGTAATGCAATGAACCTTCAAACAACTATTTCCCAAACCCACTTGTAAACTGCTCGTAGGGAAACATTCCACCGAGATCAGCAGCAAATTCTTTTCCGGCCGTGCCCCAAGTATGATTGATAGGTCTATATTTGTTCACTGCTAGAAACGACAAAGAACTACCAACATTCCCATTGAAGGCCATCTTTAAGCTCCCATGAGTTAAAGTTTAGAGTAAATAATCAAGAAACGTTAGGAATAAAATGCACAGCAAATGTATACTGACGTGAAGGCACAAACCGACTCACCATTCATATAACAGCTTCTGTAAGTAATATCAGACAAGTCAGTTCTGATCTGAATATAGGATCCATGATGCTCATTGGCAATGCTCTTTAAAATGCATATAGCAGAACAGATCATAATGGAACCGCTCACTATTAAGGAATTGGAATTCTACGGGCAGTGGTGGTAGGCCCCAAGGGGTGTGCAAGTGTGTCCAGAAGACATCCGCGTTTGGGAAGCTGGGGATGGGAACAACCTGAGGCATGGGAGGAGAGTCCCACTGGGGACCCAGAGGACCCAAGAGACCGTCTACATCAACCTGGGCCAATACCTCGGGCCTTGGGAGGTAGACGCGATCAGGATGAAAACGGCCGGAAGTGAAAGCAGGAATTGATTTGGTCAACGGGGCTGGCGGTTGAGGCAAACCAAGGCGACGACTAATCGCAAGGAACATGGTAGCCATTTGAGCATCGACAGTGCTCAGATGCTTACGCCATATTTCCTGACCCTAAGGAAATGGCAGGATGACAATAAACCTTAAGAATGGTTTTAAGAGTTCGGAGACAAAACTGCAACACCCACCTGTCTCTGCATCTCAACAAGAATTTTTTCATCAAAGGCATGCAGAAGAGGCAATAAATGGGAGAGTCTGGGACGAGGAATAAAAACTACGCTTCGTCGCCACTGCTGCTCCAATACCTCCCAGAAGGGAAAGAGCTGCGACTCACCGCCACTGGAAGCGAAGACGGGAATAGCACCGTTCGACAAACACGCTATCAACTGCTCCCCCAATCCAACTTCGCTCTTGTTAACGCGGCTGTCGAGGAGACTATCGACAAGCAGACAGAATGTGGAGTTTTTCAGGATCTGGATAAATAATAAACAAATGATCGGCATCGGTGGACCTTTTTTAAGAAAACAGAGTACAATAACGGAAATATGAAAATTGTGATAACGTCATGAGTTCAAGACTGCACCATGGCGCAGATTTAAAAGATTAGTTTATGAATAAATGGGAGACTTAAAAGGAATACGAAGGACACTTTTGAGCATCAGTGAATATTACAAAATGAATTGGTATTAAGATTGCAGTTTAGTTGTACCAATTGCTACACATACGTTGGCAACTAAGCCTTCCAATTTTAAGGGGGAATGATCTTTTTACGAAACTACGTTTATTGAAAAGCATTCCGATTCCTTGCAAATCGCAATGATGCTAAAAAAAGAACAACCCACCTCAATGGACGCATAGCAGGGCCGCCAGAGAACATGATTATGATCTTCTTCAACGGGCCAACAACCCTCTATGGAGCGTTTGAGAACCAAATTAACTGAGTCATCATCTGTAGCACCGACCAATATGGACCCAACGAAAGTCCCATTCTCCTCCGTGACATCTGAAGTACCTAGCGATGCACCTAACAGCCACTTATTTCGACGCCTAGCTATCAGTGAGGGTTGCGCGGCAGTCGCATTGACAAGGGGAGCCAGAACAAGGTCATAACCAGGACGAATAGCGCCTTGAGTGAATGAGGCACGTATCACCGTAGGAGAGAGTTCATGGGTAGCCATGCCGATGTAAAGACAGGGCGTGCCAGTGCAGGCCTCCGGGGAGAAGATGACTCTTAGGCAAGCACGATCACATGAGGTGGAGAAGTGGGGCGATGTGAGAAGAGCATGGTGCCAGCGCGGATCTAGAACTGCGCTTTCATGGTGGAAACAAACGCGTAAGTGAGAAGACAAGTGCAGAGGACAGGCTGTCCAGTTAAAACAAGTGTACATGTTACACTCGTTGAAGGACAGCGACTGTGAGTTTGAAGTAGCAAAGGAAACAGGAGATAAATAGCGGAAAGTAGATGCGTTGGTCGAGAGCAGATCAGCAACCTTACGATAGGATGTCACCGTTGCCTAAAATCCAGAATAATCAAACGCAATAGAGCCCACTTTGCATTGCACTGCCACGAAACCTACCTGGAGTCGAAGCAAGTCCCTCTCAGCTGTAGCAACAGTTCCACGCAACTTAATCACTTGATTCTCGAGCTCCGATTTCGCCAACAGCAAGGAACGACGTGACTGTTCGATCAGAAGCATCTCGTTATTGATGGATGCATGAATTCCAATCATCTCGCGGATCTCTGCTTCCAGTCTCTTGGAGGATGGAAAAATCTTGCGAGATTGAGGACCGGAGTTGACACTGACTTGAATTCCAATATGATCTATGTCGAAGAAGAACTAATGAATGCAAAATGTCTGACTCCTGCGGTCGTATAAGGGTCAAAGCACTAACCTTTCTTAGAAAATACCCACCGATGCAGGTAAATAAAAGTGAAGAATACATATGAAAGCGTTGAAACAGAAAGCAGGATTAGGATACATTTTCGAACAAGCACAATATGCCGATAGTTCATTATAGGTCTACAATCAGGAAGAGAAAAATAAGCTATAAATTCATCAAATTCATTGGAAAAACAGAAATATGATTCAAAGTGACATAAATTTTCATATTATTGGGAGCAACATGCAAACACTTTTAGCAGCGACCTAGTTTACAACCAGGAAATAAAAAGCAGGCACTTTCAATAGGCAAAAAACAATCTACTGAAAACACTTGTTATTGATTTGTTGCAAAATAAACTAACCGAGGACTTGAATGCCAATGGAGAAGTGTCAACGAATAGTAACCGCTCCTTGCCGGATAAGTGGACGTATGCAACTTTCTAGAGTGCAAAATAGACGGAGAATCACAACGGCAAAAACCCATCAAGCATGTTCCACGCAAACCCGACCACCACCACTTCGTGTTGCTAGAATGACCCAGCATTCAACCAATCAAATTTTACTTGACCAATTGGACAAATAATATATTTATTAACTTCAATATCATTACCAAGTTATACCTTAAAAAATACAAGATTTTGGACTGTTGTCGCCTTAAAAGATTTGTTGCATCAGAATCTGGCATTTCTACTATATCCATCTGCTGTTAGAACAGGAAATCCCCTGAGTGCTGAACGCTCAGCTGAGACGAGTTCTGCTCTAATGGAGTGGAATTTGTCTTAATCCCAAACTTATAATGCTTTCCAGAAGGATTAATCGCCATCATTTCTCATTCATCCCAAGTGTTCCAGATCACCACCTCAATGCCGCAGTAAACGAACTTATCGATTCGGATGAAGTAGCTACCCCATCGTCCAACATCCTAACATCTAACCCTCACCCGCCTCACCGCAACAGCACTACGAATCTCGTATCGCCGACCCCACCGACGACTGGAGGGAGTCCTACTTAAGGCGACCAAGACTGCTACCTCGAGTTTGCTGTGCTATAAGAAAAGAGAGAAATCTGTCTTCGATTACGGTAAACGCCTCTTAGTATTTAGTAGTAATGTAAGCAATCAAAAGTAGTTGCAGCTGACGCATGTTCATGAGACCTCAAGATATAAGAGGGACGATATGAAACGGGGTAGAAAGGAAGAGGTTTAAAAGCGACAACAAAGCAGAAGGATGGGAGGGGACAGGAAAAGGAGGAAAGGCCGATTGGCTTCCTGACTCAGACGATGGTTCCAGGCCAGGAAACAACTCGAATGTGCACATCGCCAACGCAGTGTTTCAGAAGTGCTACCGCATGAGCGTGGGAGACGTCAGTGAGAGGATACTGATTCACCGCCAAGATCAAATCACCGCATCTAGAATTTGCAGTGTCAAAAAGGTTTAAAAGCTGAAAGAAAGGTACAAAAACAACCCTTAGGTAGACAAAGTTACTTTAACCGTCCGTCACGATGAGCGGGAGAGCCAGGGACGATTGACTTGACGACAATGGGCTGTGGAGATGACGTAACGCAAGAGCCCAATGTAGCTGAAGGGTGTCGCGGATCTGAATCACCAGACTGGCGCTGGAAAGTAGCGGTTTTAGTTACAGCTAGGTAAACGTGAATTGAAAGGTTGCTTTGCACATTTTTAAACCTGGTGATAAATGATTCTATGGACCACTTAGTGACCCTACCAGGAGAACAGGCCTAATGATCATATCAGTCAGTACCAGCAATTTCACGAATCGGTAATTATGTAAAGTCTGAGTAGTTCCAAGTAGAGCTATTGGAAATAAGAGTTTATAATTCCTTTTATAAGTGCGCTTCCTCAAAAGGTTAAATATTTGAGTTTATGAAATGGCGGTAGGTAGAACTTAGTTTTAATAAATAAACAAATAAATAAATCAATCAAGAAGTCTAACACGATTCATCGTAAGAATCAGGACTGCACACGGCGTAAAATAAGTGGCAACCATACAAGGCAAACAATCATGAACTTGAAGTGAGATGCTAAATTTAATGAAAATAAACAATACTCGAGAAAAAGCGGTGAGAGGAGAAGCGGTGGCGTCCCCGGCGCCGCTTGTGGTGTTGCCA